TAGCATAATCTCCTAATTCGGATAGTTATCTTTTTTCTGATCACCTGACTGCTTAAAACTGTAAAGAGAGATTCTGTCTTGATCACTCCTAGGAGTTAAAGGGAAAACGCAGCACCAAAAAAGCAACTTTTGCCAATCTCAGAACAAGAAAGAAGAGCTGCAGAGTTATAATTTAAACAGCATCACCACGAGGTCACTATACAATGTATTTGTCTTCAAGATGTACAACACTGCACATACATACATGAAATATTTCGCACTTCCCGAGAGAAAGAAAATATTAAAATAATTTCATTCTCATCGGTCATACTGCTTCAGATAGCATGAAGTGAATGAGAGTGTAAGAGCCATTCTCCCTAGTTAGAAAACTGATGCAGAACAGGTTATCACAAAGATAGGAACCAGTGCTCTGGTATCGAGAAAAAGGGGTCTGCGTTGAAACGTTTTCACGATTACCCTCTCTTTCTTTGGCGGGATACGGCAAAAAACAAATGCGCTTTAAACGAGTTTTAAAAGCGCAAATAATTGCATATCCTATTAAATAAGTATAGAAATGCAAGGAGAAATAAGTAGATAAACAGTAATTACATTAAACAATTAAAAGTGAGAATTGGAATAAAGGCTGAAAGTTTTTAAAGAAATCGTGGTGCTGCGTCGGTGGGGGTAACAAGGCAATTTGATTATATAAACTAAGTTGAAATTGTAAATTGGCCACCGTAACGAAGAAAAAAGCTGACGTTTCGAGCGCTAGCCCTTCGTGAGAGCGAATCAACTCAGTTGATATAACCAAAAGTGAGAATTTCTCGCGTTCACGAGGAACTGTCATAGCGGCTCTCATTAAAGATCTGTGTCAGCTGTACTGTGTACATACCCAGTTACTTAATATGCTTTTTAAATAGCTACTCCCGTACTCCCGAAGTCGCTAAACTAAATAGCTACTTCTGCAGTCCCGCAGTCCCATGGTGGAAACTGTGTGGTCGGCTTCAACAGTTGTGAAACATACCAGTATTCCTTCTTTGACTTCGGGAGGCGGGACTGCGGGGGCACTAGTTTAACTGCAGCCCTCTTTAGGTTGCTCTTATTTCTGTTCAAAATGCATATTTCCGTGAGTTATTTACTTGGAGAAAAGTCGCGAGGAGATGAAGAGCATGAATCCCTCACAGATTTGGTAACACTCGATTCAACGCGAGAAATATACAAGCCGACTTGGACAGGAGTAAACATATCCAAAGGAATAAGGTCGAAATTATATGCTTTCTTGACTGCATAGAAGCTGGAGAAGACATTGAAATTTCTTGTAGGTTGTAATTTCTTTCCCCGTGCAAGACTCAGTGCAAATATGAATAATAATTTCATTTCATTTTACTCTGTTTTGTTCTTGCCATACTTTGAAATCATCTGTGATTTATTACGGAGCAGACGTACATGAATATGGAATCTAAGTGTTAACTAATAGAGGCCAAAATAGCTGATAGCCGCTTTTGTTGTTGCTGCTCCTCGCCTTCCCTTACATTACCAAGATTTCATTAGTAATTCTCCTTACTGTCTGCTTACAGTTCTTATGATGTTAGTTTGGAGAAATTGGTTTAAGATCAACTAATAATCCCCTAATTGATATTTTTCTTTATTCCCTTTACTCGTTTGCTTGATAATCTATTGATACGGCAAGGAGAAATTCTGTCTTGGTAACTCATGGGAGTTAAAAGGTTAAGAAAACTCGTTATAACAATAGCGACAGCACGCGAGGAAAAAAAAGAAAAGAAAAAAACATTGTTAAATCTAAATTCAACCAGCGATTTGTTCGTTCGTTCGCTTTACATACATTATTCAACCAATAGACCTCACTTTCCATAGGCTTATCGGCGTAATAATCCACATGACAGTTTGGGAGAACACGAGCCGGAAAATTTGTAAGTCACGAGCGAGAGGCAAGTGGTTTACAAACTTTTCAAGTGTTCCTCCAACATCCCGCGTGGGTTATTAGGCCGTTAAACTAGTTGCAATTGCCGTATATTATTTTATAGAAAAAAAGACCCTTTTTTTTCAAATTTCGGTTTTTCTCCCTATAATTTTTTATTACTTTTTTCAAATTTCTACGCGTTCACCGGTGCATTACACGACAGATTATAGACCAATTGGGTCACTCGTACTGTCTAAGTTATTTTATAACCTCTAAAAAAAAAAATTCTATATACAAGGCTAAAATATCATGAAAAAAATAATTATTAAAATGTTTGAACCAAACGTTTTCGGCTGTTTGCCCTCATCAGGGTTGAAAATAATGACCGTCTATACATACATATATATCTTATGTGATTCCCGATGGGAAAAGTTTAGAGACATAAGAAATAACTTGTTTGTTCAAACTGGGGCGGAATTGTTGGATCATTAGCCCCTCGATCCTACGCTTGTGGAATGTTTCTGGTGAGGAGAGAACATGCCAAGTGAAAGAATGCGATGGATTTTCCCCCTAGTGTTTTGCAGGTTCAGAGGTGTGAGTAGGATTTGAATGCTCCGCAATACGTACTGCTAGATTTCTCACAGTTTCGCCAATGTAATCAACGCCACAAGAACAATCTCCTTTGTAAATGACTTTGGATCTGTGAGTGTTTTTGTCTTTGTTGTTAAAAAGGCTTTTAATTTGCCTTGTTTGCCACATGATTACAAAGATGAAACTAAAATTAGTGAACTTGTTGAGTTTTGTAACAAACGTCTTACCGAGATTTTATTTTTTACCGCAAAAAGGAAGCTTGATAAAAAGCCGTTCGAGGAGAAAATCCAGAACGATGTTGTCATCTTGTGATGAGTCGTTTAGAAAGTTGTTGATTGTATGCGAAATAAAACGTTTGGGATAACCAGCATTGATGAAAGATGTTTCAAGAGTTTTTGATTCATTCATTTACACAAGACTTACTTCACCTTAATTCTATATTTACACTAACCAAGGTATTTATACACTATTAATTTTGTAAACAAAGAGAAAAGTGAAATCATTAAATAAGTATTTAAATAAATAAAAATTAAATTAACAACAAAGACAAAAACACTCACAGATCCAAATTTGTTTACTAACAGTTCCGCCCCAGTTTGAACAAATAAGGTATTTCTTATGTCTCCAAACTTTTCCCATCGGGAATCACATAAGATATATATGTATGTATAGACGGTCATTATTTTCAACCCCGATGATGGTAAACAGCCGAAAATGTTTTCTTCAAACATTTTAATATATTTTTTTTTCATCTTTTAGCCTTTTATACCTTTAAACAAGGTATTTCTTATGTCTCCAAACTTTTCCCATCGGGAATCACATAAGATATATATGTATGTATAGACGGTCATTATTTTCAACCCTGATGATGGTAAACAGCCGAAAACGTTTTGTTCAAACATTTTAAAATATTTTTTTCATCTTTTAGCCTTGTATATAGAATATCTTATAACCTTTACTATCACATATTTCATTCAAGAATCTTCCTGTTCTAATAGAGTTTATACGTTTGGTTCCTTTGGCTCTCATTCTTACCCTGTTCGCGAAGATTGACAAAGAAACCGTCTTGGTTGCTGGAATGTTGATTCATTTTGGTATTTCTCGGTTTTTTTCCTTACTGGCGCTGGCACCAACTGGGGGAAAAATGTCGGAAGACTTGAACGACTTGCCAGGTAACGGCTTGCTGATTTCAATAATAGTTTATTAATATATCTTAAAAGTTTGAGAACACTTCACGGACGAGAGGCTAGGGAACTAGACACTTTGAACTGATGATAACCTAATATCTGCAACAGACATTGAGATATTTCTCTGCTCAATCATAATGATAATTAGGATAAAATAAGCTAATAAAACGAAGAAGGGACTTAGTAAGGATGACTTAGAACTGAATTGTACTGAGTCTGATTTACCAACATTCACAGACCTGTGCATTTGAGGGCGAAGCATTACTCAAAGATATATTCACTACGTTCGAAATTCTCGACTCCAGCAGTCGAAATATCTGAGTCTCTTATATCTTTCTAATTCTGTAAAAAAGGTTCACTTCATGATATCCTAGAAAGTACCTATTTATTTGCTTCACCACTTTAGTTGTTTATATTTTGTTCCATTTGACAGATGGTTCACGATCGTCTCTTCCGTACACTACTATCGTTTAATGATGAATACCACCGACATAGGACCCAAACCCCCACCTGTTTTATCCTTGACTGACGGCAGCCATGTTGAAAATCTTGGTGTTCTTCCCCTATTGAGACTGAGACTAGGAAAGATCGTGGTAGTTGATGGAGGACGCTCTATTTTAGACAAAGACTATGGAAAATCCTTGTTGCTTGCCCTGAATTTGGCCAGGGAAAAGCTAGGATGTTCATTTTCAGCTATAGATGGACGAGATATAGCCGAGGATATTCAGGATAACTTCGTGGAGAGGAGCCCCGGGTCACAGCCGAGCAATTACAAGTACGCTATGTAAACCAAGATAAGCTATCCCTGCTGTTTTCTTTCGCTCCTGCGAAAACTTATTCAGTTTGCCCACCATAAGTTATACCAAACTCTTCCTATAACGTACAGTGCAAGGGTTTCACAATTCATGTTTGTGTTTGCTGAATCCTAGTATGGAGGCGAAAGTAGCCGAGTTTGTGTCCAATAGGCACCAACCCTCCGCTTTAGGGACTATCTTTGTGTAAATACATATGAATAGCCTGAAAACTTATTTTGTTAAAAATAAAAACAAAAAACAAAAAAACAAACAAAAGAAAAAAACATTCCAAACTCTAGTTCGAAAGGTAAACGGTAAATTAAAAAAGCCACCTTGAATGTCCACTGCTTAATTTCCTTTTCTCTCGCTTTTGTGGGATACATTGTCTGCATTCATTTGATTTTTAACTCGCTTATATTCTAGAAAGTTCACCATGCATCAGTAATGATAATAAAAAACCTTTTCCTTACTGTTTTATTCAATTGAAATACAGGCAAGCTGGTGAATTGCTATGGTTAATTAAATTTCTTAAACGTATATCATGGAGCCATAATTTGACGCGGACAGTGTTGGTGTTGTACATCCGACTATGAATTTCAAAGAGTTTTCTCCTGACCTTACTACACATGTAAGGCAAGGGTCTGCCCCATGAGTCGGTCTGTCATTGGAGCGTTTTCTTTCATTGCCTTTCTCTCTGTCAATAAGCTCCTGAAAGAAGACACACTTCTCGTTACAGGTGATTTTGCCGGCTTTTACTTAGAAAAGTCGTATTTTTGGAATTTTCGGATGGTTCGTGACCATGGATGCATCAACACAAGGGAAAAATAACAATAAAAAGGTGTTTCGTGAGTACACAAGTTAAAAGGTGGACCCAGTAATGAGAGCTGTTTTAGAGCAAAACAAAAACGCTAGCGTACGTGAAAAAGAAATTTCTTTGAATTGTTTTAGATGAAGAGGTACACTTTAGAAAATGTATTTTCGAGGTCAGGAACCGCGACAAATGGTGCCCCACCCTTCCCCCGTGCAATTTACCCCCCTGTCTTTCTTACTTGATTATAGGTATGTAAAAGTCAGATTCTCAGCTTGAGCCAACGATTTTAAACTGGGAGCTGGGTGGTGTTCATCTGCATGGCCACACTTATTATTCGCTGTGGATCTTTAGCAAGGGGTTGTTTTTAGCCCAAGGATCTCAACAATGACGTAAAGCTTGACGTTTATGTTCAAAAAAACCACCTCACTTACCTTTGAAGACTCAGCCCAGGTATTGCTTAGGAGTAGTCATTTCAATTCGGTTATAGGTTATATTTCATGCATTAGATCTGAATTTTGTAAAAAAGGCGATATCTTTTGCATATCACGCCTATGTGTCGACCTCACTTTACCTGGCCCCAATGGGCCCAAGCCAATGCTTAGCTTAAACCGCCTCCCAATTAGCTCAATTGGTAGAGCGCCGGCCTGTTGTGCGGGAGGTTGTGAGTTCAAATCCGGCCGGACCAACACTCAGGGTCTTTTATTAACTGAGGAGAAAGTGCTGCCTTTGTAATAATATTTGCAAATGGTTATACTTTCTAGTCTTCTCGGATAGGGACGATAAATGGAGGTCCCGTCTCCTGCAGGGTTGGGGTAGGAGACGTTAATTTCCCACACACGAGATTACTGTGTGATGGATGTCCTCCCCGGGGTGGGATGGGTTGGTAAAAAGGGGGTTAGGTGACAATTGGAACGAAAGTTCTGTTCCTTTCTCCTGCCATTTCTGTGGCGAATGAATTAAACTTAAACTTACACTTCAACTTTTGCTAGGATCAACAGATATCTAATTCAGATATGAAAAGGATATAGGTTCAAACGAAAGAAACTGCACGTTACCTTGCCAAGTGATGATGCTCTTTTAGTGAAGAATGCAGAGCAGCGTGAATCAGGAATAAGTTGAAGATGTCCTGCTGTGTCAAAGGAAAAACCAAAGAGAGGTTGCCACAAGTTGCACTAATTAACGACAATGAATTGCAATAAAATACACGAACCTGTGCGTTACTGGCCCCAATGTCGACAACGTCATAACGGAGGGGGTTTAAAATGTCTACAGCTCTGTCGAAGTTTCCCTTTTAAAACAGAAGACACAAAATTAAACCTCAAGAGTTTCAATGTTCCAGTCATAAGTCCGTTAAGTGTTTAGTGAAGTCAAGTTGGGAGACCGTAAAAGAGATGAATTTACCTTGTCAGCCTGTTCAAATGCTTCACAAAGGGCCAAACCAACCTCTCTAGATACTTCGCAATTTGTTCCTGAGCCATTCCTGAAAAACAAAAGAAAAAATATAAAACCAAAAACAAAAAAATAGACATTATAAGGCTAAGTCATAATAATGATTGAGCTAATGTCTCAGTAGAACATGATCCATTAATAAGAAAAAAATAATTGAGATGACAAATAACTTAGCGTCTGATTCCCCCGTTTTCAAGTTTCCTCCCCGCCTTGAAAACGTCTCGTATAAAAACAAAGAAGTTCAAAATAATTATATTACTAGAAACGGAAAATCACCCGCTTAAATACGTGAGCAAACGTTAACCTAAGATGCAGTAAATGGTTTGAACCCGGGGGTAACATGTGAAGGTGTAGTCTGATCGTCGATGGTGTTCAGCAATGTGATTGCTGAACACCAGCAATCACATTGCGGGCGAGGAGGAAAGGTGATGTCAGCAATCACATTGCTGAACACCATCAACTTACCAACCACAACATTGACTGGGACTCTGCGCAATGCCTAACCTACAGCACTGACTATTTTCAACGACTGACTCTGGAAAGCTGGTTTACTAACTTAGAACAGACTCCCCTAAACAGATGTCCACAACTACCCGCTCCATACAAACGACTTATTCACGACATAAACATCAGAAACGACCGAAAAAGAACGACCTAACATTACCGACAGATCGAAACAGGATCATCACGACCGACTTAAGTCACTTGAGTCTTACAGCCAATAACATCACGACAAAACCAACCGATCATTTCACACGAACTGGAATAAGAACATTCTACTGACAACAATCATTCACTTGAGTCTGATGATGACTTCCGCACAGGTTGTCGAAACGTCAATCACTACCACCGATAACAATCCTTCTCAGGACTACACTCACCCGGACGATCAGACTAAACCTTCACTAGTAGTCTTTGTTTTCTAATTTAGGATTTTTTTTCTAAGTCCTTTTTGAAACAGGGTAAATTTGGCGCGTTTCGGCTTTGCAAAACGAAAAGCTCACGTAATTTTCCAGAGGTTTTTAATTTGCACTTTATACTCGAGCACAAGAACTCTGTTTTATCCTGTTTTAACTTGAAATTTATCTTTCTTAGTTTCATTGTCATATTATTAATGGCGCAGTTCTTCTAATTTCTCACAGAGAGGATGAACCACCAAACCAAGCTGTATCAGCCACCATCTTGAAAGAGGTAAAAAAAATAGAGCAGATTCAAAATGATTCTCCTTGCACTGAAAGAAGAATTCTGGGTATGTTGAATCGGCGATTGTTTCGCCAAATAAACGTAAACACAATTTCTCTTTAACTTTGGGTTGAAATTAAATGGGACAAGTGCTCCATCTTGCCCCTTGCTCACTACAGTCCTGTAAACTAACAATATTTTTGATATAACTGATCTTGGCATACCTACCTTTCCTTTCCTTTCAGATGCTCTTTCTCAAAACTTCGAAACGTCAAAGAAACGTAGACGACAGGAAGAAAATGGTACGAGCAGTATTAGAAGGAGCAGAAGAAGCGACAGAGAATTAAAAGGGTAAAAAAAGTTTTTTGGCTCTTTAACACTCAACTATCTTATCAGCTTGTATGTTTGAATAAATTTCGGAAAGTTTGAATTCCAGTTTGATTTAAAAACTGGTTAAGGTTCAAATTACACTGTAAATCTGTTGGTAAAAAAAACTTTTTATGCCAAGAACAACTCAAACCAGGGACACTGAGGTTCATTTAAGAGCTTTATAAATGCTTTATTGTAGGAATTGCTCACCATTCAGTATTATAAAAACTTCTTTCACATTTTTCCTTTTTAGAAACTGGATAAGAGACTCAAAGTGGCAAGTGAATAAGAGAAGAGGGAACCAATTTCCGAGGCCCAGCATCCTAGTCTTGTCTCCTCGGATGAGTGTGATTAAGAAGATCCCACATCAATTATGAAGAGGCACCCCTTGTTACCTGGAGGACAGAAGAAGTTACCAACTTCTTCCATATACTAGACCAGTGGTATAAGTCTTCCATGACGAATCAGCAAAAGAGGCAGTCAGTGAAAAGAAGGGTTGGTAGACCAATTCATAGAAATAGTAGAGAGATCCCAGAAAAATTGCACTGGGCCACCACTTTAATCCAATTTAAATTTTAGTATACAGTCACTCAATTCTCTTCTAGGGACCATCTCTTATAAACTTGCTATATTTTTGCCCAATGATACAGATAATGTAGGTCTGCCATCTCCATTCTTTTATTCTGTCTGACTTAAGCTTTTAATTTGACAATTTGCTGATTTCAATTTTCTCACA